TCTGCTAAAGGATGTTTTCTTGGTTACTCATTTCATTTTGGAGTGTTGTGATGTTTTATGATTCTTTTTTCCTCAGGTTTGCAGAATAGTTGAAGGCCAGCGATATACTAAAAAGCTGAATGAAAAACAAGTTTCTGCAATGCTAAAAGCTACTGCCCAGCGTCCTAAAGAAAGAGAGATAAGTATCAGTAAGGTAAAAAGAGTGGAGTTTTTAATTACTTTAGTGATAATGAAAGTGTTTGTTTCCCAGCTTTAGACTTGCCAACACTTGCATGCAGGTTGTCCGTGCTAACAATTATAACAAAGATAACTTAGTTTCTGAATTTGGAATGAAACTAACTGATGACCTTACTGCAATTGAAGCACGTGTTCTTCCACCGCCAATGGTAAGCAATGGATCTACATCAGGGTTTGGCACTAATGTTTTAACATTAAATTGAATTTTATTGTATTATTCTACTGGTTACAGATTAAGTATCACGAAAGTGGTCGAGAACCTGCAATCAATCCATCTGTTGGGCAGTGGAACATGATCAACAAGGTGTGTGATTGCATTTGCTTTAAGATATCTGTTTTCGTTGGTCTTTGTTAATGTTTTACTTAGCTAGGGTGTTTTGTATTGAACAGAAAATGGTTGATCCTGGGAGGGTTGACTTCTGGACTTTGGTCAACTTCTCACGGTTTCCGGATTCAGAAGGGTTTTGTCATGGTTTAATAGACATGTGCTGCAGCCGCGGGATGGTATGCATTTTTTTACTTAAATACTAATAATAGTATAGCTGCCTGTTATCTGTAGTGAGTTGTGCATATCACCATTTCATTCCCAGGCTTTCAATCCCAACCCGTTGGTACCCTTTCGTTTTGCCAATCCTAACCAAATAGAGAAGACACTTCATGACATTCACAATGAAAGCTGTGCTCGGATTGCTAGCATGAAAGGGAATGAGGGAAAGAGTCCTCTTCCCAAGTTACAGCTGCTCATCATTATTCTTCCTGAAATTTCCGGAACCTATGGTAATCCCACATTTTTCTTAACCAAACCTAATGGTATTATGGTTATCTAATCGGACATTACACTTGCTTATTTTGTAGGCAAGATTAAGAAGATTTGCGAGACAGAGTTGGGAATTGTCTCTCAGTGCTGTCAACCTAAGCAAGCCTCCAAATATAACAAGCAGTATTATGAGAATGTTTCCCTTAAGATAAATGTTAAGGTTTGTACTGTTGTTTGTCTCCTAACAATTGCTATAATTATTAATCTATCTGTTTACTGTCAAGTTATTTCATGCTTGAAACCTGTGAATTTTATAGGTTGGTGGAAGGAACTCTTTTCTTGAACAAACTGTGCAGGGTAGATTGCCTTTTATTACAGAACGTCCTACTATCATCTTTGGTGCTGATGTGACCCATCCCAATCCAGGAGAGGATTCTAGTCCTTCCATTGCCTCTGTATGTAACAGAGTTTTTTTGCTCCCCATTTCTCTTTTCCTATGTTCAATACCTGGAGTATTATTTTCTAGTGGCGTTGGATCTGATTTTCTCTTTGACACAGGTTGTTGCATCAATGGATTGGCCACATGTTACCAAGTATAGAGGGTTAGTTTCTGCACAAGAACACCGTATGGAGATTGTTGAGGATCTGTATAAGCTGTCTCAGGATCCAGTGAAAGGGCCAGTTCATGGGGGCATGATAAGGTAGTTAATATACTTTGTAGGTTATATATAAGATATTATATATATGTACACTCACAAGTTTCTATTCTTTGTTATATTATTCATAGGGAGCTGCTGATAGAATTCAGAAGGTCAACAGGCCACAAGCCCCACCGTATCATATTCTACAGAGATGGAGTGAGTGAAGGGCAGTTCAGCCAAGTCCTGCTCTATGAAGTTGATGCCATCCGCAAGGTAAGATCATGTCTTGCCTTTATTCAATCTTTTTCGGCAATGTTATTCATGATTTTATCTCAAATTTTATTTTGATTGTGTTCCTGGATCAGGCTTGCAATTCGCTGGAGCCTGGATATCTGCCTCGAATCACCTTTGTGGTGGTGCAGAAAAGGCACCACACGCGCCTGTTTCCTGCGGATCACAACGATCGCAGAGGCACTGATAGGAGTGGCAACATTTTGCCTGGTATGTTTTTTTAATGCTCTCAAGTTCCTTTATTATTCTTACCCTTCAATTTATGCAAACATTGAAATGGTAATTTTTCTGTTGCATGTTTTTTTACTATATTGCAGGCACAGTTGTGGATACGAAAATCTGCCATCCTACAGAGTTTGACTTCTATCTCTGCAGCCATGCCGGTATCCAGGTATAAAAAAACAAGTCATGACCATCTTTTCTATCCGTTTTACACCAATCCATATTCAACCCTTGGCTTCTATCATACAGGGGACTAGCCGTCCAGCGCATTACCATGTTCTCTATGATGAGAATGGGTTCAGTGCCGATGCAATGCAGAACCTCACCAACTCTTTGTGCTACACGTATTCTTCCTTCTCATCCCTTCATTAAAACAAAACCTCTATTGTTTTATAAAACATATATGCTTTCTATATATCTTTTTCCCTTGCGAGTAATAATAATAAACTCTGTTAATTGTTTGGTTTGTTTCAGCTATGCTCGCTGCACTCGCTCAGTGTCAGTTGGTATGTCTCTTTCATGTCTAATCTGCTTGTTTAACCTGTTGTGCCTGAGTGAAATAAAATGATTTTTTTCCTTCTGTGTGTGTGTGTGTGTTGCACAGTACCTCCTGCATACTATGCGCATCTTGCTGCCTTCCGCGCGAGGCATTATATCGAGGGAGAGTATTCCGACGCGGGGTCAACATCAGGAGGAGGGGGAGGACAGGCAACCCGAGAGAAGGGTGCGGAGGTTAGACCGTTGCCGAGGATCAAGGATAATGTCAAGGCCGTGATGTTCTACTGCTAAGTGCTCTGTTGGAAGGAAGGAGGAATTGGAGAGAAGAAGATACTCCCGGGTATATGTTTTTGGTTAACAAAAAGACTGACTAAGGCTCATTCACAAAGTAGTAGTTTTTTGTCCATGCTTGGTTAGAGCTTTAGATATTTAAGTATTACTATTAGTATTTAGTATTATGATTATATATATATATATATATATATATATATATATATATATATATATAGTTTTGCTGTGGCATGTTTGGTCACCTCACATATATTATATTGGTTTTTCCTAAACATTGGAAAATATGGTTTATGTATGAGGGTACAATTATTGGTCAAGCATTGTTACTAGTAGTTTCTCAAACTAGAAAATTTTCATTGTCCAATTTTACTCTTTTGGGCATTTCTACTGAGACACATAAAAACACCCTAAAATCTTCATGATTAGAATGTAGATACAATATTGTTTGTACAATATTTCATTGGTGGGTGGGGGTGCATGTGAAAATTTTCTTCTGGTCGAAGAAACGTGTGATTCATTCGAGCTTGTAAGGCAGGCATATCGTAGAATCAATCCATCACATGCATATGGTCGACTAAAGGTTGTGTCATTAAAGCCTTCGGATACAAGCAACCCAAGGAAATCTTTTTTTTTTGTTGCCTTTTAAAAGTTGTTTTTTTGTTGTTGACATCACATGTTTTCTGTTTGATATTTTCGTTCTTTTGAGAAAAAGAACTACCAATTAATTAATAATGAGGTTTTTTTGGCAATAGTTTTAGGTTACAAATATCACACTAACATTAATTAAAAATGATACTCCGTACTTTCAAACAAGATTAAGAGCACTGGTACTACCCTTAACGCTCCTCGGCGTTATGGCCATTTTGAAGCCTGGGGGGCGTTAAACACCGCCCCCCTCCCCCGTTAAAAGGGCGTTAAACTTCTTGCGTCAAAGTTTTGACGCACTTTGAAGGCATTGTCACGCCTTCTTCTTACCTTTTTCTCCCTCTTTTCTTCTCTATAAATTAAATTTAATTTTTTTAAAAAAATTCAACACAAATACAAATTTCTCTCTATCTATCATCTTTTTTTAAAAAAGTTATTATTCAAGTGTTTTATTTATTTTTTCATGAATGTAATTTTTTTATTTAATGAATGTAATGTTTTTATTTAATTAATGTACTGTAGTTTTTTTAATAATGAATTTAATTTTTTTATTTAATGAATGTAATTTTTTTTTTTAAAATCATGGAAACCGACCTTTCTACGTTGTCGGGTTTCAAACGGATGATCTACGACAAAGATAAAGAGAGATCAAGGCGAAATATAAATTACCTTAGTTTTTTTATTAATGTATCTTTTTTATTATTGTCGTTTTTTTAAATTTTAATGAATGTAATTTTTTAAATTTTAAATTATGGTCGTTTCAATTTCTTTAAATTTAATGAATTTATTTTTTTGTATTTGTGTTTCAATATAATTAAATAATAAATTAATTTAAATTTATTAATTTACATTTAGAAGATGTATGTTTAAAAATGTAAAAAAAGAAGGTTTGAAGCCCCAATTTGAAGCCCCGGGGCTTCAAAACCATTTCCAGTGAATTTTTGGTGTAAGTTAAAGCTGACGTGGCAGAGAGAGAGAGTTGAAGCCCCGGTTTGAAGCCCCCGGGGCTTCATGACCATTTCCAGTGCTCTAATATCAAGCAATAGGGCATTAATTTAAAACGGAGTTAAAACTTCGATTTACTACATGGGTGTCATGTTGACCATTTTGACAAAAAATTATTTTACATGGAAGTGAGGCAACATCTTAATTACTTCTTACGAGCCCTCATATTTTCGTTTTCTAAAATTTTGTTATATTTTTTTAATCAAAATATTTAGAGGTTCATATAATTTTTCTCTTCCAAATAAAATTAGATCTTGTTTGCGAATAATGTTAGCGTTAGTATTTTTGATTTACCGTTAGTTATCATTTACCAATTGAGAAGATTTTGATATGCCCACAAAAATATATCTATATAAGATAAAATCTCAAGTACACTTTACAATGTCATTATTTACATTGAAATACCAAAAAAATTGACATAGTAGAATTTAATACCGTATGACATCATATTGTACCAAAAGAATGTTTAAGATTGTCACTTTTAGTACATTAAATTTCCCCTCCACAACATCTGCCCACATCATCACATTAAAGAATCCCAAACTATAGCATATACTAAACGGGAAAGTGTTTTTTTTTTGTACATAAATTGTTTCTATGGGTGTTGTGAGGTTACAAACGAGAACCTAAACAAAGGCAGAATTTGGACATGCCCAAATAAATAATGGTCACTCTGTACAAATACCAAAAGAATACAGCCAAACCCAATCATACCAAAAGTGTTACAACTCCAAATGCCCATAACACAACATTTAACAAGTGAGCGAAAACTAGCTTGCGTGGATGGTTCCACGACGAATTGTTGTAGTCTATCTGGCCTGCGTCCACAACTTCACTCCTTCCTGCTCTGCTCGCTGTTGAAACATTTACCGGTTTCGAACCTAAAGAAATGGGGGATTCACAACATGAATTCAATGTTGTCTAAGATGTCAATAAAGGGGGGTGGGGGTACCCAAGTTCAGATATTTTTCCCTTCTTAATCTGAACTAAAAATAAAGATTTTTTTTTCTAGCTCATCCCAATTTTGAATATTAGGGAGCCTTGGCTAAGCCAATGCCTAAGGGGGGATTTGAAGAACAATAAAGATTACTTGACACACAACTTACAGTCATAATTTGTCCACCCGATCCGCTGGTTTGCCAAATCATAAAAGACAATCTTGTCTTTCAGGACAAGGTCTACACAAAACCAAAACTCAAGTTAGTAAAAAACAAATGTTTTGATTGTATCGGGACATTTGCCAAAGAAACAATCATTATCGTTATTATTACCTCCCAAAATAGTGATCCCTTGGCCTTGCATTTTCTGAAATCCGATGCACCATGCTGCAGCTCCATCCTACACACCCACCACACATAGTATACAAAGTGAGATGAAGCATTGCAAGAACTCCCAAACCCATAATATGGAAAATGCTAACATACAATGGAGTTTTGTTGCAAAAGGTAATCTTCGGGCCTTAACACCATCGAAGCACCACCGACAAAATTCAAACTAACAGATGGAAATATTTCAGAGACATTCAATGTGATCAAGTAGCATTGGTTTCCCTTGGAGTCGAGAGGTTTTGTGGATGCCGCTACAGCCTCGTTTATCTGCACTTACCACACAGTAAATGTTACAGTTTTTTTTTGGTATATATAAACAAGGGTCTATCGTTACATCCAGTAACTACCCACCGTATTTATAAACGGATGATATGCCTCCTCAGCAAGGTATGCCAAAGTTGTTCCAGAATCAATTATTGTCCCTCTGTTGTTTGATGTTGAAAATACTTGTGGGTCAATGGGTAAAGGATGCCCATTTATAGAAATACTCTGCAAATTCAAATTGTAATGCAGCCTGATGACACAAAGAGTAACTATGTCAGAAAAGGGAAAAATGAGATAAAATGCCAAAAAAAGTTCAGTTGCAAAGAACTCAGCATCACAAAGTAATAAAAGAAACATACTGTGAAGGGACGAGCGGGGTGTAAACCATACTTGGCTCCACGATCTGACCCAGTACCAAAATCCCACCCCCACCATTGTTTCCCTTCAGGCAATGTGAGAACATATTCGGCGTTACTCCCTGTGAAGAAAGCTGTGAAATCACAGACATTTCTTGTTGCCCAAACCCAAAGATTCCATCTACTGCTCGGTCAGGCTTAGTCAAGTCTCCAGTTTGAGACGTGCTACATCTGTCGCGCCCACAAAAACCCAAATAAAGAATTTGCAAATAACGAAAAGCATAACAAAAACCACAACAAATAACTTACCCAAAAACAACTTGGGCGGATGTGTTAGAAGTCAATGTGCTTCCAACAACTGTATCGACATGGATTAAGTCTGACACATAATAGCCAGATGTGCCACTACCATCCCCATACTGGAAAGTGTAACTACATTGGTTTTCTGTTGAGCATCCAGTGTCTGAAGACTGTTCTCCAAATCCACACCTTTTGTCAGAGCAAGAGATCATTGATGATGTTGGTGAGCTTGATGGGTCAAAGAACTCTAGCTGTATCTGTGGCAACGAATCGAAAGGATTTTATTGCAACAATGGAACTCAACCAGGGTTCCGAAATGGTAAAACGTACAATCTGTAATAAATAGGTTCCATTTGGTAACCTTATTTGACAACAATGGCTCCATTTGGTAGCATAAGCTGGCTAATTTTTGAATACTTTGATGCATAAATAAGTATCCACTTAATGGCTTAATTATGAATTTCCTCAAAACTCAAAAGGTTGTGCTGATTTCCATTTAGCCAAATAATTCTTACCAAAGGGGTACTAAAAATGCATTACCTGAAGTCCACTAGACGACGGGCAACCATTACAAGAATTGCAACTGACCCATAGCACATCACTTCCGGTATCAATTTGCACGAAAAACTCTTTGGGCGGAGAGCCTAACTGAACTCTGGTAAAGTAAAGCCTGAACCATATTTACATATAATCATCAATTAATGACTGTTTAGAATGATAATGATCCTAATCTGCATTGCTAAAAGGCTAAACGACTGCGAATCACTGTGAAATGAAGATCGAAATATAATCCAAATGTATAATGATGAGAGAATTTCAATAAATCTGCTTTGAATTTGAATCTGGTGGGTTCTTTGGCAACACAGCATGAATTTATGAACCAGGGAGAATGGAGAGAAGGAAATGGCAAAATTACCCCACGAGGAACGGATCGTAGGTGCCTTGAACGGGGAAATCAACCACGCCGCCGGGAAAACTCTGCAGCATCCGGCCATGCCTGACCCGGTCCCGTTCTCGTAGCAGACTCAATTCAACTCGGTGACTCGTCGGGAACGCCCTCTCTAGAGAAAACCCAATCTGCCCTCCCCCAATCACAGCCGTCGCCGCCACTAGTAAGCCGGAAAACACCGCCGCCACAACCGCCAGATATCTTCCCCGTACCATCCTCATCCCCAACTCCCTGTCTGTATCTCTCTATAAACACTACTATATATCTTAATTTTGAGGCTTTACGTAAGAGATACTCCACCGACGGGGCGAAGGTGCTTCTGTATCTATTTCTTTATTATGTGTATCCACAGATTTAACACATCTGAGTGAAGAGAAGAGAAGAAAAAATATATATTTATCTGAGAATCTTGAAGATGGAGAACAAGAAGAAGATGAAGAAGAAGAGGAGAAGGGAATCGAGACTTTGTACTTTTTAGTTAGTTGTTTATTATAGAGAAAAGTCCGCGAGATGAACACGTCTGTCTATACATCGCCGCCGGAGTTTTAAATTTATTGGTTTAAGTATTCACCAATAAAAATTACCCTCTTTTTTTTGGAACAAAAAAGAATTACTCCTTCGTCCCTAATTATTTGCAACATTTGTTTTTTCAGTAGTCGCGAGAACTTTTGTTTATTTGTATGTTTTCATTGGTTATTTGATAAAATAAAATATTTTTGACATCTCTTATTTCGAAAAACTTTTCATGTAGTTTTTTGTTATGTAAATTTTATTTTTTATTTCTATACCAATATGTAAATAAAATGAATTGAAAAAACTTGATATTTTGCCTCGAAAATACAAATGTGACAAATATTTAGGAACAGAGGGAGTATGTTCTTTATTATTCAAAAATCATGAATTTGTTTGATGATTTGTGTGTTTTAATTAATTGTTTGATAAAATAAAATATTTTTATCATTTCTTATTTTGTAGAACTTTTGACGTAGTTTTTAAATATGTAAGTTCCACTTTTATTTTTATACCAATCTTTAAATAAAATGAACTGAAAAAACTTTAAATTTCACTTCATTTCGAGTAAAGCATAAAATATTTTAGAACGGAGCCATTATCATATTTGAAAATAAGAATTTGATATTGTTTCAAATATATGTAGAAACATTAACAATGACTATATGTACTTATAAAACAATAGATATGTACATGTTAGTAAAATATTTGGTGTCAAACCTGGTGGGGTTTCATCACTAGTCAAAATTTAATGTCTATTGACCCCCTTTTTTAGATATTGGATAACGACTCTGAAACTTTTTAAACTTTTTACGACACTCTATTTCATAGGGTGATTTTCGGATCACTGAATCAGTGACGAAATTGAATTTTCGTTCCGAAATGATGAAGGTTGCTACTTATTAACATCTCTTCATAGACTGTAGCCGCAGAAAGTTTACCGCTTAATTCTTTTTTTCTTAAACGATATGCATTATATCGTTAGAAGTCGAGTATTTATATTCATTATACTTTATACTCTCTATTTCTTTAACAACTACTCCCTCCGTCCTATAATGATCTTCCCGGTTCGCAAAACGAAGAAAAATCTCAAGTTTTTTCAATCTATTTTATTTAAATATTGATATAGAAATAAAAAATAAAATATACATATTTAAAAACTACACCAAAAGTTCAACAAAACAAGTGGTGACAAGAATATTTTATTTTATCATATAGGCCATGAAAAAACACAAATAAATATAAATTCCCGTGAAGTTGAAATAGTGCTCTGGGAAGATCATTATAGGACGGAGGGAGTATCTATTACAACTTTTTAGATATATTAAATTTTGAATAAGTGTAGGAAAAAATCATGTCCACATTTAATGTTTTTAAAAACTTCTTAACGGACACTTTTTTAGAAATAAAGAGATTTACAAATGTATCTTGATCGCTACTGAATAATAACAAGGAAGCATTTGACAAGCTACTACGAAAATTTAAAGTATAAAATTAAAAGTTGGCGTACATATTTAAAAATCACCCCTAGAAATTTATTAATGAACTAAGTACCACCACGACGCCTTCGTTGTCGCATATCCATGTTATTAATAAAACAGGTGCTCACTGGACAACTGACCTGCGTCTTTTGAGCTAAATTTGGTTGCACTAATTCGTAACGAAAAAAGACCATTCCATTTCATTTTGCATCGGCATGACACTTCCAGAGTATGCATTCTAGTAGCTCTGAAGTGAGAGCACTGATTCATCATTATTCCTAATGTTACAATAACGACATGCGGCGTAGACGTAGGCACATGACAAGTGTAATGTGGTCCATTTCCGCAACCACACATTTGTTGGCCTAGATGCACGATAATCTCATCTAATATACCGGCGGCTCCAGCATTGGCCTCAACAATGATCCTATAATTTCATTGTTGCACATGATGAATATAACACAACAATGCAAACGATTACCTTTCATGTGTCTGACCTTGTTCCAAACATATTTCACGACTTAAACCCCTCTTGTGGACATGTAAATCCGTCCATTTGCCTTTATGAAAATAACCTTACTGATCTCTCGTAGGTTGCTTTCACGATAGCATATACCAGAAGAGACCGAAATCTCATTAGCATGTGACCGAAGCTTTTGAAATGATTAGTGGTTAGATTCCATACCTAATTGACTGTATGGGGGAGGGGAGTGGGGTGCAACATGGTTAAGGATAGGAATCATCAATTTTACCGACTAGCACCTTAGATATCCCAAAATATATAGATAATTCTCGTGTAATTTTCGAGCAAGGTCAAAAGAACCTTGCCCAATTAATAATAATAATAATAATAATCGTACCAGAAATGGTCTAGAGAGAGGCAGACCTTACTGCTCTTCCCATAATTTTGATATAGGAAAAGTCGTCCAAACATGTAAGTTTGAAATATTATTGACAATTTTTTCCCACAACTTTTGGACCAACATTTCCTATATCTAGACTATAAAATTTGAACAAAGTACAAACATGAATGTTTTAAAGGGTCCTTACGACTCGAGAGTCTAGTTGGATCGCACCAGAGTAGAATGTTGAGAGGATGTGCGTGCACATGTGTTTCTTCACCTCGAACTTGCTAAGGACTGCGTGATGTTACCCACCATGTCCAATGCCACACACGGCTGATCCACCGGAACCTATACATATATAAATATATATAGTGAAATTTGCAGGTTTCTTGGAGCCTGAAGACTGGAGTTTGAATGTTGGAATAACTAACAGTTGAGTAGAACATGGCCTTACGTAATGTCCGGCTCCGAGGATCCAGTAGAAGTGCAGGTTTCTGTAGGACTTGAAGAAACCCCTTGTGGTTTTGTCACCCCCACAATGGATTGGGCTTCTTCCCAAGCTCAAGAACTCTTTCAGCCCTTCCCACCTGCAAATATAGAGGTCCTCTCTCAGTTAAGAATGTTTGTCTTGTGGCAGAGATTCTGCCCACACAAGACATGCTCCTTGGGGAAGACTATGTATGATCCATGTCTTCCCACAACATGGGAGATTAAGGACTAAACTAGTAATTGTGTTCATACTTGAGCTTCTTAATCCATGCCTCGGTTCCCTTTGTGGCGCAGATGAGGTCAAGCTACAACCACCGTTCCCAAAATACAACGATCAATTTATGATCACAAGGGCTAATAATCATTCTACATTATATGTACTAATAATGAGTCGTACAACAAAAAAAAACGAGGCGTACTTGTCCAGAGTACACAGTCACATTCACTCCCTTGGCCAATAATCGGTCTACCTGTGAAAAAGGGATCAACGAACCGCCAAGAGTTGTTCAAATAAAAAAGATTAAGAGTTGTTAAATACCTCATTGATCCTTGGTTTCATGAAGTCCCCGTACATATTCTCAAAAACGTTGTCCGATTGCTCGCCCCAACTAAAAAAACAATATTTAGTCCTTTTTTTGCCTATAAAAGGACTTGAAATAAATTAACATTATGTTTGGTTCGTAGAATCAGAAAGGAAAGGAAAATGTTAGGGAAAAGAAAGTCAAAGAAATAAAAGTTCTTAATCTTGTTTGGTTATTAGAGAGAGTGAGGAAATTCCTTTCTCAATAACTTTGGTGTTTTCTCTCATTTTACTCACAATAATGGGAGGAAAACACATTTTGTTTTTTGCTTTGCGTTCTCCTCGCCTTTTCCTTTCCTCTCTAACCAAACACCAAAATTGTTTTTTCCTTACCATTTCTTTTCTTTTCCCTTCTAATTCATGGAGCCACACGTGTAAGAAAACAAAAGGGTGACGACATACTTAACGTTTGCAGGGATGATTCCTAACTTGTTTTTGATGGCGCCATTCATCAATGTACTGAGACGACCATCGCCACCCGGAGAAGATCTCCGGGGTTCTAAATATGCCGAGTATCGTTTCAGTGCCAATGCTTGCTGAGAAGCAGCCACCGATAGAGGGTCCATATCACTATCCAACATAAAGTTGTAGAAGTCCTACAAAGATAGATACATACTCATAGGCAAAAAAAGGGACTAAAGATTGTTTTTTTGGGGGATAACATTAACTTGTGAACATCTTACTTAAAACAGATAAATACATAATTAATTACCACATGATTACTGTCAGCGCTGATTCTATTTTCAAGTTCACTCCATAAATCAGTTGCTTCTTCAAACTCACCAGCTTCAAGCTTCTGCTTGATTTTCAAAGCTAGGCTGTGTTTGGCAGCATGTTAGATAATAAACAAATGAACTTTTCGGAATTCATAATGAATGTTTGGATATGGACCTGTTTGCTTGTTCAAATCCGTTCTCATCCAGCCTCGACATGTCTTTCAGAAGGGCCCCCCAAGAAAACTGCATCACTCGTAAAACGAATATTTGTAAATAGACTTACCAAACATGCCCTAAATGTTCTTCACAATAACTGAATTCATTGCATACCACAAAATCTTCGGGCGAGATCCAAGTATCTCCTAAAGCAACTCCTGCAGTAAAAACAAGACCATATACAATAAGCTCTCAAGTGTTATTACAAAAACAAGCAAACCCCGACTTGGAAATGGAGAGGTTGTTAAAGTAAACACAATGGCACAAATTAGTTCACAAATTTGTTAGCTTCTACTATTATCGAGTTGCAATTTTTTTCCACTCTTTATACTTACCTCCGAGTACGGTCTTCAACCTCCCTGCTTCAATGGCTTCCAGAGCTAATAATCCAAGAGTGACCGCAAATTTTCCTCCATATGACTCTGCAACAATGTACAAAGGGGAGCTTCTATGTAAGCTCGCGTTACTACCATTGAAAACTTCAATCAACAATGTGGTCAAATCTGTTCCTGCTTCCCAGTCAGTCTTTACCAACTGCTTGGTATCCTCCACATAACTGTATCCTGTTCCGACTGGGCAATCCTATAATGGATCGAAAAAGAACAATGATACGTGCAAAACATATTCGAAAATCAGAGTGCCCTTTTATAAATGCAAGATGATTACCACAAAGAGAAGATCGGCTTTCTTCAACCACGTTGAATTTCGAGGCTTCAAGTTAATGTCCAGAGGACCAACTTCCTCGAAATTCCCAATTCCAACTCCTGAAGCCCCCTATTCACATTCCATGAAGAATTATCAACAATATAATTTGACATGGAGAATCACCAACTATAGTAGTACAAATGTAAATATAATATCTTAAAAGTCTTACTATTAACACTTTGGTTTCATTCTAAAATGACAACTCCATACACCGCGTAGTCTAAGGGTCTGTTTGGGAATAACGTTAGAGATTAGCGTTAGCGTTTTGGATAAGATTTTAACAGTGTAGATTACTTTGAATATGCTAACGCTAAACCCTGTCCGTAGATAGCCTTTTCAAAAAGCCAACGCTATTCCCAAACAGGCCATAAATGTCTTATACTCCATATTTTTGTTAATATTTGTATATTCAACCAATGTGGGGGGATGGCTTAGCATGCCACATCAAGATAATGGCTTTCTTACAACAAACCCATCTTAAACCTTGTGTGCTCGTTGTTGAGGCTTTTCAGCATCATATTGCTCGTTTGACCTTCGTGAACTTTAAGAGACATCCGGCTCAAAACACGAACGAGCACAAAATAAACATAGTAGCACAAACCAAGTAAGAGCACAAACACAAAATACACACTATAGCATAATCTACAAACTAAGACCCAAAGGTCTACCCTAAGGAGAACAGCTCAATATGCAGAAATATATAGCTACAAAAACACAAGATCTGAAAATCACATTGCACCTTAGGAAACAAGTTGATTTTCCAAGAAATGGGTGGGAATTTTGGGACAAAATCAGACAAAAACTTACAGGTCCACCCTGCAACCAGAGAATGACTGGCCATGGCCGGTTTGGATCTTCAGCTCTGGAGGGGCTTTTGTAGAGCCACCAGAACATGTGAGCTTCTGTGTTCATACATTCCAATCATTATAAGAAAGAAGAGA